CCTGTCGGGGAGATATGACTGACTTAAAAAGAGCACAGAAAATCAACGGGAGAACTGGACTACTTAAGTAGCCATTATCCTCCTGGCGCAGCATACGCTGATAACGGAAGAGACGACAGGCTGGAAACGGTTATTGCGAATCCTCGTAAATAAAGCCCCTTTGACTTGAAAGCATATTTGCTAATTAGTTTCGATGTTTACGGGTTTCGGAAGCGACGGACCTAATAATAAATAACCTCAGACTGCAGTCATTCTCCATCGAGATCGTCCTCACCTAGCTGCGGTCATTTCATGAGAGCGAAATCCACTCACTTCAGATAGCTGCGAGTCCGACCACATCAAGCCCTGCGACCTTCAGAATAATGACAGATAAATATCGTTTCAGGCAGTTTTTATTTTTCGGCACAGATGATGGTACTCGTATCGACGTGCTACGTCATGGAATATTGGCCGGAATTCCGAAATATATCTTCAATTCGAAATATTACTATAATAGTGCTGTAATATTAAGTATCGTGCAGCTGCATAATGTTAGGATACTCCAATCCGGTCAGGGTGTTGGGTTCCGAATGTGCTTCTTTTTAACCGCTTGTATAAACTATATTCCGCAAAAATGACTGCTTAAGTAACATGAATTTTTTCCATTGATTTTTTATGTCCTTATAAATTAAAATATGTTCGATAGAAGAAATGTACAATACATTCTTTTGCCCATTTGGTGGCAAATCCCGTCTTCTCCAAATTTATGCTTGAAAAAAGAGTACCTGGATGTTTAAAAAGTTTCTAATTATGAGATTTTAAGACCGTGAAACGCCCAGTTGTACATGGCATTAGCACATTTATTAATGCTGCCTACAGGGTGGATAACCTGGTGCACGTCCGTTATAAAAATTTAAAATCCCTATATGCCCTCTTCGTAAAAGCATATAGAAGTGTATGGTGTTCTGTGCATAAAAAAATTACAGCTTGCATTTTAGAAACCCTGAATGAAATTGCAACGACAGGTTGGGTTCAAAATTATTCCAGAGTTGATAAAGTATTTCAAAACCGGGAGATACTGTTCCCTCAAGTATAAAATTTGAAGAAGACGTCATTTGCTACTAAATGAGTAGAAAAAAGAATATTTCTGCGCACGTCTTCTGTAAAATGCATTTAACTTGATCAGGGTACCGAAAATCAATGTGAAGAGTACATGCTACATGTGCTGTCGTTTTTTATGAAGCAAAGCGTATGTCGGCGGTTGATAAAAAGCTCATTCGAAATCCAGCCCCTGTTGCCGTACGATGACCAATACTACAACCCTAATATAGTGGCATTTTGGAAACATACTTCAGAATCTAAATCAACATTTCGTGAGACTGCACATCTACGGTAACCACTGCCCACAAAATTACGGATCATATCAAGTTGTGCGTTAGTAAACAACTCTCTTTTCTCGGGAGTTGCCTCATGTATTCCCATCACTGCTGGATGCCACGTTTTAAAAGTACAGGGCTAACGCGTTCACAGAACGTGTGCCCCAAAAATCGCAGAAGAATCCGTCCAATATCGATTCTGCCCGTTATTTACAGAAGGCTTAGTTTCTCATAAGACGGTAAAGGAGATATCACACAGACACCTCTGTGTGCCATAGCCCTAAGGTGCGAATAGCTGAGAACACACATTAACACCTTAAGACCGCAAAGACGTAAATAATGGGTGTTACCTCGATGTGAGGTTTTAATAAGCACGTGTATGGTGCGCGTCAAAAGGCTTTTGCAAAGAATACGGCCGAACGACCGGTAAAACCCGCCAAACCGACCCCCCAAAAGAAAACTCTGTTCCTTAAAGTCCCTTTTCGAGGGGACGCTGCGAGCGAACTCCTAAAGAGACGCCTTGATCAAGCTGTTTCACGAACCTTCCCAGCGACAAGGGTTCAAGTATCCTTCTCTACTAACCCTATCTTACGCGGAGAAGGAAAGGATAGGTTGTCACCCCAGACCACCTCAATGTACATCTATTCCTTCACTTGCTCCTGTGGAGCAGGCCATATTGTTTGCACGAGTCGGCGCTTATCCAAGGGAATACGGAAACACCTCTCGGCATGGCTGGGAGAAGGCGAAACTAGGAATATAAGCAGTCCCATTCTCGCGCATGTTGTCGATTCCGGACATCGTGTGGACCCCAATGAAGTTTTTCGTATGATCTATGAGGTCCCATCGAGCTACCCTAAGCCACTGGGAAAGCGCCTGTTAGCAACAGCAGAGGCAGCCGCCATCAGGTTGCGAAAACCACTCTTGTGCGCACAGGAGAACCACGTTCAGGCTCCGAACCTACAGTGGTCGAAGGTCGGCTAACGCTGCAATTCTCCCGCGCCCTTCCGCTCTCACACCGCCCCTGACACTGACTGCTATTACCACCCCTCCCTTCCCCACACCCAGCCTGTGTTTTAAGGCGAAATTTAATCGATTTATCTTAGCACTGACGTGTTTTTACTTCTATCCTATTCCCATATAACTGTACTGGCCCGACGAGAATTTATCGGAAGATACGTGTGCTCGCCACCTCGTCTTCTGCTTACTGCTATGGGAATTTTCGCAACTCTAAAAGGCTTTTCGCTTACTTCATCACTGGGCCCGGTCGCAGTTACAAGAAGCTTGAAGCAAACTTGCCATTGGTGTATGATGAGATGGGCCCCAAGGTTTGTGAGTGTCAGCCATGTCATCATCAGCAAACCATGGCTTTCGCGGCCCGTTGTGCGCTGACAGTCCTCCGGTGCGGGTTCTCTGACGGTAGGTGCGTTTCCGCTCCCGCCGGGTCATGTGCATGGCTGCCCAGTCATCCACCTCTTTCCCCTGTTGGTCAAAATCCTGGCCAAGTTTGCTGTGGATCAACGGGTGTGGAGTGGGGCGCCAAGGTGCGGGTTCGGCCGCGCCCTTCCCGCCTCCGGTCGTTTTGACACCGGGCCCAGGAGGGGAGAATGAGCGAGTGCGGTAGATACTGCGCAAGTCCGCCCCCACTATGAACTAATTCACGCGCATGTCGCCGTGCCTGCTTCGCCTTGTTGTGGAACACACGGTGAACATCGTCGGGCACCACGTTCGAACTATCACACAGTGAGGTCGTTTCCGAGGGAACAGTTACCCGAGGCGACTCGTTAACCGTAAATTATCTGACATGCAAGGTCGCCAATTGACGGGATAACACAGCCCTCCTTCCGGCTAAAATGGCCTCATTCAGATGTTGCCCTCGGCAGCGAGGTTCAAGACGCACGGGCGGGGTGGACAGTACGCGCAAACGGATATACAGTCCTTGGGTTCGCGCCCATCCCCTCCCCCCCCCCGCAGACCGCAACGCCGAGGCTGCGGAAAAGTCCACTCTACTGACTGACCTGCCCCCTTGAGTGGTGTCCTCCATCATTTGTAATGGACTAACTAACAGAAACGATGAGACGAGTCCCAGGAAGCAGTCTTGAAGAAGGAGGCACGATCGCAGGACAGACTACCGTCAAAAAGCCAAAGGTTTACTGGAGGACCGACAGTCCCATGTGCAACGAACTCTGTAAAAGCGCAGACACGCGAGATTACTGCTACATTGTTGGCCTTGGAAAACTCAGGTGCAATAACATCGACCGACAGACGCATGGCGAGACCCCATGATACGGCTTTGACCCGATTCTATGGCCTCCCTAAGGTGCACAAAGACGGCTCTCCTCTCCGACCCATCGTGTCGCTCAAAGGTACTCCGACGTATGAATTGGCTAATTGGCTGTTCCGGCGTCTCAAGTTCCTGACCGCTGAGTCAGACACCACAGTCTCTTCGTCAGCACAATTCCTGGAGAAACTCAAAGGAGTAGGCCTCCATACCGCATAACTACGAAGTGAGAAAAAATGACGCCAGCTCTCAAGTTGCGGCTCATTCTACGAGATCCCGCCACACATTCAAATTCGACGAGGACGAAATTCTCGCTAGAGGTGACAACCGCTTAAGCCGCGAGCTGCTTGAGTCATGGTTCACTGGCTGCCAGCATATTAACAACTGCTATGACCTCCCCTTTCCATGCTCGGTGCTTAGACTTCGCCTAGGCGGAGTAATTTGTCACGCGGGAGCGACATTTTTCCCAACGCCAGGGTCAGCGCGTCAGATGGTTGAGCAATCATCACACCAACATCCAAAACCCTGGAGAAATTGGAGTAAAAAGCGGTGCGAATGTTGGCCATCAAACAGCCAGCACACCAAGTGCAACGATCCCTGATGAAGGGGGGAGCCGTGAACATTCATAAATATGTGGTAGCATGGCGACTGCATCCCTTTGTACATGAACCACCCGTATCTGCTTTTGTCTCGGATGATGGATTCGAGCAGGAATCCGAAACGTCGGGCTAATAAAGCTCTTGTCCCAGTGACTAACTGTTGTAGCCTGCAGTAGGATGCGCAAAGTTTCAGCGCAAAACGCAAGTAGCCTTCTCTGCCTGAAAGCACATTTGGGGACTCCGGCGAGCGGGTCGACTGGGGTCGTAAGCTAGGGGCGGTTCACGTCTGTTGACATTCAGTGATAGAAACTTGGTCGAAAAAAACAGTCGAAGGAACCGCCCCCTCCCCGCCTCCCTGCACAACCTGTATCGCTTTCTGGCAACTAGCCAGCAAGGCGAGGACCTCACGATACAAGCACGCCAACTTTGTGGGCCAACCAATGAGAGAATTTAAAAACAGGCAATGCAGTCAAAATAACAATGTTGACTGCACAGCACGAAATTCTTTTTTTTAAAAAAAACCTGAAAAACCTTGGGTCTCAACTTGGTCTGCACACTGACGGAGGGGAGGGGGGCATTCATACATACGTTCAAAAGTGGGATTCGACGGACTTTTGTATGTACACAGTGGGCGAAAACCGTAATGACTACGGCAGGAGGACGGTGTGGGGTCGGGGAACGATGTAAGAGGAGGATGAGCAGGGGTAGGATCGAAGAGTGGAAAAGGAAGAGGAGGGAGGAAAAGGAGAGGAGGGGGGGAGGAACACCTCAGTCCCACAACTTGATGGAACCGTCCCAGCCAGCACTGACCACCTTGGAGGTCTCGTGGGGCAGCCAGGCTAGATCAATGCACACACTGTCGTGGGCCTTCCACTTGGTCAGGAGACGGGTAGTTTTCCACTCCCAGAGGTAGATGAAACCGTCGCCGTCACCTGAGACAACATAGCGTAGGTCCGGCGACATGTCTGTCTGGCAGGCGTAGCCGGAGACGGTATGACCGCGGAAAAGCTTCTTGCGCATCCTCTTGAAACCCGCGAAGACGTTGAAGATGACAATCTGATTATCCAGAGACTGGCAAAGCAGATATTTGCCTGCAGGAAAAACGATAGAGAAGGATAAGCGCACACGACGTAGCATGCAAATGTTGTAAAGCGAAATACTGTGGTTGACCGAACAAACGAGACGTGATGGCCGAGATCTGAATGTTTATTTCCAAGAGTGCTTTAGACGTTGTAGATTGTACTGATCAGCTAAATGTTTCGCAAAAAACTTTTATTGCGTGTTTACGCTCGTTCTTATAGAAGACATCAATATGAATAAAAATGGTTTACAAAACAGCTTCGCCGATGTTAAACTTTAACTTCCATTTCGTGTAAATAAGGTGGGGTCAGACGCGCACAGCTTCGTTGTTTACGGGAAGACAAACCTACAATTCATCTTCACAAAGTTTGATCTATAAACCTATGCAATTCAGTGCCCTAAAAAGCAGTAATAGCACCAGCATACAATATACTGTTTTAGCCCATTCACAATTTCTAAACGTGTACCGTAGAAGTAATCACGAAACGACAGATCATGGATCAGCTAATTAATAAGATGCCTTCTGTGTGGTTTACTTCCAGAAATGGGAGGGGTACCGTGCCGGTCGGTTGTGAAGCAGCTAAATATAGTAGTGCATGCATAATCATTAAACCGAGACGGTTCAGGTTTTGTGGAACAAAGAATATAAAACTTACCATTTTGGGAAATCAATTGCGAATACTGAAACCGAAGAGTAATTACCACCCACAATTTATAGACATACCCGAATAGTAAAGAAGTAGTTAAAAAAGTTAAATAATATCTCGACTGATTAGTAAGATGCCTTCTGTAAGGTTTACTTTCAGTCAGTAAGCAAGTTAAAAAAGAGGAGCGAGGACAACGCGTCAATTGGTTGCGAGGGGCTCGGCTAATCAATGGGGGACCCACTCGAACTCCTCGCAGCCGCGTCAGAGAGCGGCACAAGATCAGCCAAATATAGTAATGCACGTATAGTCATAGTCAACTAAGACGGCTGCAACACATGGGGAAAGGAATTCCTTCGTCTACAGCAGGAGAATGGTGAGCATTTGTCTGGTAAGTGCATACGAGGGAGGAACGTTTCAATATTTTCTTTGGAAAAAGGGAGAGGGCGTGGGAACGTATCTGAGGAAAACCCTAACAATGCACTTTTTAAAGAGGTGACTCATCATGGTAGGTCGCTTATTTGACCAAGATCATATACAATACAGACCTTCGTTGTGGAAGCCTACTTTCTTGTGCGACTAGCTCTCATGTTTGGGTAAGTTTACAAACATCACCCGGATGTCCATGAACTCACTACCTCGAAGAAAGCTTGCGAAATCAGTCTTATTTTGAGAGTTTTGCAGAAGACAAAGTATAGAAAAAAAATTAATTGAAATACTGAAACCGAAGAGTGTCCATGGAAATCGCCGAAGACTCTGCGTACTTTACTGACGCAAGCAGGCACACAATACTATTAGGGAAAAAATCTTCTGATGCCCACGCTGTGGCATGCTTATGACCCCATCTGCTAATAATAGCTCACTTTTTTCTCAATGATCAGCCTCTCGACACGTGACCCGAGGAAAACATCCACTCCTTCGACGTCCCCACCCAGAAAGTCCGACAAAACCACCCTTGTCGGGTCAATCACATTTAAAACGATGACTTTAAAGCAAACTTTTACATAACATTTTGACACACCTGGCTAGACATCGCGCGGCTGACTGACTGCCTTACGCAAACAACACACACTCTTGGAGGATGTCTAGTCCGAGGGCTATGCGAAAGTGTTTTTGAAGTAGTGCTTTGTTTATGCTGTTTTCTCTACTCAATTATTTACATGAACGTATATTCTGCGCCTCTAAAAAACAAGGAGTTCTGGTCGAGGCATTTAGGCCATTTTTTAAAGTCAACGTATGTTCCATGTTTGGCCACCCACAGACCTCCGTGAACCCGAATACAGAAGGGCGAAGTAGAGGTAAAGTGGTAAGATTAACTTTCGCGCCTGACGCGGGAGTGATGGGCATTTGGCTTTAAGGGAGAAGGTGTAATGGACCTGAAAAGGACATGATAGATCGTCTATCGCGTTTACAGTAGTACATTTTATTGACAATGACAATGCCAAGACGAACGGAGATGGGCGCGGTACAGTGGTTGACAAAGTTAAGCAACCCGTCTACGCGTGCCACGCACGGCCTGGTCTCCGCGAAGTGCACCAAGTTTTCATAAAGAGAAGGGAGTGCGGCTCAGACCCAATCCGAATAGGAAAGTTTATATATATATATATATATATATATATATATATATAGATGAGATGATACCGACAAAGACAAGGGAGACCGGAATGGCCATTTCTGGCTTATTAGCCGTCCTCAGCCGTGGCTCAATGGTAGAGTGTTCAACTCCATGACCAAAGATCCCGGGTTCGAATCTCAAGTGATCCACACTTGGGGTTGGGTATGACTGGCTGATGACGGCTAATAAGCCAGAAATGGCCATTCCGGTCTCCCTTGTCTTTGTCGGTATCATCTCATCTATGTCTACTACTAGTCGCTGTGCGACTGCCTGCGAGGGTTTAAGTATGAGCCCCAAGGCACAACGGAACGAGCATGTTCCGTAACCTGATCGGCGAGCGCCCACTGTCATATATATATATGTCGAAGTCGAATGTGTGCTTTGGGAAAGGAAGTTTATTGGGTAATAGGCAATGCCCTTGATGGCCCTATCGAAAACGGTACGTATAATATAAATGTTAAATGAACACCCTACTGAAATTTTGCCAGTAACATATTTCTTTACGTATAAACTTTTTACAGTGCGGGACTGCGAAGGATTCGGCAGGCGGTCTTCTCAATGTACATAGGGCACATTACGACTGACTCTCAGCCTGTCGGTCAGTCATCCCATACGCAGGACTGCCCATGCTGACTGAGTTACCCAGCCCCACTATTAGTCCGTCGTGGTAGATTCAGGCGTTGAGGTGTCGAGGCAGAATACCTTACGTTGGTGGACGCTTCCATATTCCCCGTGAAGACAGAACTGCGGTGGGAAAAAGTGGGCTGGACGTCAGCCCTTCGAAGAATTCAAAACAAGCGTAGAGGCCTACTGAGAACAAATGACGTTGTAAACCGTGCAAGTGAGCATAAATTCCGCTGAACGAGTAGTTGGACGCTTTTCCGGACGTTTTGGGAGTGTTGATGTTCGTTGCCTGACTGCGGGGCCAGATGGGAGCAGCGGTCCATCACCGAAAGCTGGATGTGATGACGTCTGAATGGAAAGTCGCCTACACTTCCAAGTTCTGTTTGACTAAGTGTCGGCACACGAGGCGAATTAGAAAAAACAGCAGACACATCACTGGGTCAGTTTAGGAGGAGGAGCCGACGAAGTGGATGAACCCTGCCAAAAGCGATGACATCCTGTCACATCTGTCTGTGGCTAACTGAATTATTCCGCTACGCATATTTAGCGTGTGAAAGTCTGGCTCGGTCCCTGGATGTCTGGTGGAAGAACTCCAGTTGTCCCAGTGTTGCCACAGAAGGGTGGGGCGATGGTGAGTTGTATGTCTCATTCCTCGAAAAAGGCTTTGACGAAAATAACAATGCTCCGGTTGCTATGCATGCCATTTTCAGGAGCGGGGCGACAGTCAGACTCTGCGTGGCGGAGGTTAGCAAAGTGACTTGCAAAAAAAACGAAAAGCCCGTTCGCCTGACTATTGGAATCTGCTCATCAGCCCGGGGTTGAGATTTGTCAGGCCCAAGTACAGATGACTGATTAGGCGCAGGCCTGAATGTGAAGTGCGCAGAGACGGAATTGTGCGTTTGTGTCAGTCTTCCAAACACTGGCAGATCTGAGATCAGGTAGACACTACCTGTGCGTACTACCTTTGATTAGAAGTGGGTGGAACGATATGAGCCCTGCCGGATAATCGCATTTACACTAAGACCATGGCAGCTCGAAGGAAAACAATAAACGGGCTTATCCCCAACCTCCGAAAACCAGTAATTGGATTTCCGATAATTGATAACAGTCTACTTCTCCCTACTGACAGCAATCAAAATAATGTGCAATGGTTAGACAGCGAGGCCCAAACTTCAGACGCTGATTGCCTGAGATTCGAACTAAAGTTAAGTTGGCATCGAGAGCAAAAAAGTCGTCTGTCGCGAACTGCGAATTCGGTTTGAAATATTCGGATTCCTAGGATTATCGCAGTTTTCGAGACTTCAGCCCGGCAAACGCTTCTAAAACTCTATGGACATTCCAATGGACGGTACCGACAAGGTTTTTTCAGTTTCGGTTTATTAAGGGAAATATAGGCGAGCGCCTTTGGACTCCCTATTGGTTACAAGTCGTCGGCGAAAAACATTGATAGTGGGAAGGTGAAAAAGGGGTTTTGTACATAATCGCTGACAGCTAGTCAAAAAAGAGTAATCAATAACGGTTACCAACTAGTTACAAGTAGTATAAACAAGTTTAAGTTGGTGCCGGGTTATGTGAGTGGATGCAAAGCTGGTAACTGGGAGGCTTGATGCGCGTCAAGTCTAAACTTAAAGGAATTCACACAGGAGGAGGTTGCAACATCGGTGGGCGGGGCATTCCACGCTGCAATCACTCTGTGACTGAAAAAGAACTTTCTTCCATCGATCCTTGCTTTCCCGGCGCGTAGTTTTAGGGGATGACCGCGCAAAGTGGGCGTGTTAGCTTGTGTGAAATAATCAGTGGGATCTAAACAACAGTCTGGGCCGTTGATAATGCGAAATGCAAGTATAAGGTCACCACGTAATTGCCTGTAGGAAAGTGGAAACAGGTTGAGAGTTGACAGTCGGGATTCGTAAGACAGCGCTCCCAGACCTTGTGTCATTTTGGTCGCCCGTCTCTGGACCTTCTCCAAAACGGTATTGTCCTTGACAGTCCAAGGTCTCCACGCCAGATTACAATGACATTTTCACAAGAGCTACTTCGCGTCTGCCTGGCAGGTATTAGTCAACCACTATACGGACGATCGGACATTACGTTTTGATCCACGTGACTGGAGGATTTACAGAGAAAGGGTCTGAGTATTTGTTAGCAAATCTTTGTGGCACAGCTTCGACGAAGGCTGCCACCCCACGCCAACCACTGCACCCAATATCACTACAGGCTCGGACAGTCGGAAGCGGGAAGAGAATGAGGCAGACACTGGCAAGCCAGCCTCAGGACACATTACGCGCTTTGTGTCCGAGCCCACCTCCGGTCGTCTTGAAATCGTCTTTTTGATTACAATGATAACACGCTACTACCGGTATTTTAGTAACACTTTACGTCGCATTAAAACGCGTCACCCCATTGGTCCGTAACTTCGACAATACGCCTTTGAGGAACAACCGAAAACCGAATAACGGCTATTCATTCCAAAGACAGTGGCCTAAAAGAAAAACCTTCCCGTCCTGAAAGTGCGACAAACTGATGAACGTCACACCTAGGTGACAAAGGTCAGCCGGGCTCAATGGCTCCTCGTTAATGTGGCCTCTAAGACATTCTCACGCATGCGAGATTTGAGCCGCCCTCTGTGAAAACCCGGCATATTGTGCAACGACCAGGTCATGTGTTGTACGCATAGGTGGCCTGTTTAGCTTTGTCCTCCACTGCGCCAGCGGCCACATCTGGACGTCTTGAAATTGTCTTGTCACTTGAGTCGAGTGGGCGGGCGAGGAGTCGTGGCTGACAGTTCAGAGGGACAAGCAGACAACTACCGATCCGTCGGACCAATATGCATTCCCTGCTGGATGATGAAGGACTCTACAGAGCACGATATTCATCGAAACCAACCCTGCCTCACACATATTTCAACTGAAATGGAAATTTGATTCAGGTAAAGTCTGACTACGCCCCACATCAGCGTTTAGGCATGAAAGAATTACAGAGGGGCTACTGCGTTATGAGTGGCGTTTCATCAAGCATCAGTCCTCGGGTGGTTTACACTATGTATAAATAATTTGGTGGATATGGCCAAGTCAGGAGTGGCTCTTTTAGTGGATGAGCTGAAGATCGGGAGGAGGGCGAACGAGGACGAAAATGACGCAACCACTCAGTGAAGGGACAGGTAACATTGTTAGCAGAAACAGTGGTGCATGAACTCCAACTCCTCAGAATGTGTGCCAGTGGAGTTGGATTCCGCGAAACGAAGAGCATCCCAGATACAGTCAACTTCGGGGAATTATTTAAATATTTTCGGGCGATTTGGGTATTCTTGTAGCACGGCTCGTACAGACGCACACGCGTACAGTGAATTAAATGGTGGTCATATGGGGTGCAGCCGCCAGCTTCGGAAGGATATAGATATCCTTGAAGGTGTACAACGGCGTGCTACAAAGGCTGTTCATGGCCTCAAAAATTTTACGTAAGAGCAACGCCTGACGGCCTTGAACCTCTATCCCCTCCACTACAGGCAGGACAAAGGTGACCTCATATCAACGTTCCAGTTGCTAAGAGAACTTAATCTGGATGTCGACTGGGAAACGTTTTTTGAAATGGCACCGAAGTCTAATCTCAGACGACATGGTTACCAGCTTAAAAGGGAACTGTACCACACAAATCAACGTTCCTCATTTTTCTCACAGAGGGTCACCCGCCAATGGAACTCTTTGCCGGAGTATGTTGTTAATTCCCCTACTGTGAGTGTGTTCAAGAGACAACTGGATACTAACCTGCTGAAACGCAACCCGAACTGCCGAAGCTCGATTCGACGGATTACTGAAATGGCTATAAATATACTACTAACATGATTTCAACAGATCCTTTTTCGAAAAGTCAATTTGGCAAACACGTGTTTTCGGTAACTCCTTATCAGGCCGAAACGGTAACATAGAAGTTTAAATTATGCGAAGCTACAGGGCTTATAAGTGATTCAGGGACTATTAACATCCTTTTTTGTGCGTCAAACTTGACCCATGTGGAAATTTTCACAATCCGAATGCGGTGAACAAAGTTTTTCGCAATTATTTCGCGAATACCACACCCCTTTGGCATTTATGTTCCATTATTGGATTTATGAATCCTCCTTACCTAAACTGCAAGCAAAATTTTTATAATTTAACTATTTTCCCTTACATCTGTACCGTCTAAATGGAGTTTTCAGGGCTTCTGTCATTTGCTCCAAATATAGTGACTGAACTTGGGAGTCAAGATATTGGGATACTTCGGTCGACCCCAGCTGGAGTACGTACTTCAAGCTCGGAGGGACTCACGCTTAACGAGGCAGATGCAAACTCCAAAATGGAGTCCAGAGGTGTGTTGCCAAAATGGTGCCTAAACAGATGTTTCACGAATATCCACAATAGGCGTTTGTTTTAAATCTGCTTCCTTTCAGTTTTTAACACATCAGAGGTCACCATTATTTTAATAACACAGTTGGCGAAAGTTTCATACTGCGACGTGGACTTCTTCTCCTGACATCGAGGTCTGTTTTTCGTGGACATGAGTAGGAGCTCAAAAACTGAACCGTCCGATAAACCAACGCCCAGTGCTCTACTCGAAGCGAGTTGTGCGAAATTGGGAAACTGTCCATGCTGCTGTGATTGAGGTCGATGCTCTCGGCACCTTAAACCGACGACTTAACAACCACCGATTTCAAAGTGTAGCTCAGATGCGAGCAGCAACGCGTGTTACGAAGACAAGGGTGCGTCGTTTTCTAAATGGCACGGCGATTAGAATAATAAAAACACACTACTTTCTGTATTTTAGTAGCACTTAATATCCTGTGAAGAACGCGACGCCCCATTAATGTTATTTCGAAGTTGCGCCTTTAAGGAACAGCCGAAAACCTTAAACGAGGTCATTAAGAAAAACTGTTCCTCATATCCGTTCTAAAATTACGACAGACCGGTGAACGCCACTCCCGTGTGACAACGGTCCACCTCTAGAGCGCATGAGACACCTTGCGGACCTCGTCAGAACAATGGGAAACTAGGCCCTGTTTGCCACCCATAAGCGCTTTTCACAACTGTCGGGCATATGGAACACCTGGGGGGTTAGTGGCTCGACTCTGTCCTACAACAGTCTTCTGATCGTGCGAGTTCCCTCTTTCGTCTGTCATAATAAACATACTAATTACTGAAAAAAAACGTTATAAAACTCAGACAAAAGTACAATTGTAGGAGTGTAAAGGCATCAATCGCGATGACTTACCGTGCGGGGAAAGCGTGACGGCGGGCATTGAGTGAAGTGAGGGGTCTGCGAGGTACTTGAAGTCCACGGGAATGTCCCATTCCCAGACACGAAGGGACTTGTCATCCGAGGTGGACACGAAGCGTCGGTTGTTATCCACGAAGGTGACCGTGTTCACAGCACCCAGATGACGATCGTACTGTTGGACAACCTCTCCACTGCGAATGTCATACTAGGGGGATGCAAAGTGGAATGAATAAAGGACAAGCGTGTTACGTGGTCTAAAGGCCACGCATGCAAGAGGGTTAGACACTACCTCAAGTGGTCTAAAAACACGACGTAAGATAGTTTGACCGTCAAGAGCGACGACGTCCAGGGCTAACACACGAGATGGGTCCAGAAGCGGTGACTTGCGCAGCGTCTACCTCACACTCTCCTCATTCATTACAGCCTGACTAAGTCCTGAAGATGACTGAATTATCCCGTCAGTCGGCAATCCTCCGTGCCACATACCTTGGCGCGTTGTGATAACTTGAAAGAGCGTCGGACTTGTTATCGTGAGGGATGCACCGATGTGCCGTGGGGATGGATTCCTCCCCAGTATCGGTCTCATTCGCTCATCCCTCTCCGACGCACACACCGGTAGCTACTTCGCGTCAAGCCGACTGGGAATGAAACTGGGTGCAATTAACGAGACAGTCTTTATGACCGAGCACGAGTGTGGACGGATGCATACGACAAAGCCAGCGACGACGAAGTGACCATCTCTGGCTTATTCGCTGTTATCAGTTGGTGGCAGTGAAAGCCCGGGCTGTCAGATGTCAGATATATGAATTGTAGAGGGGCGCTCACCGATCGTTCTTACGGAACTCACTCGTTCTGTCGTGTCTTACGGGCTCTCTCTAGAGCCCAACCAGCAGCCGCACGGCGGCGCATGATATATTAATCCGAGTTCCCTGGTCAACGAGAATTCTTAATTCAAACGGTTAATATCGGGAGTACTCAAAATCGCATAAGCAATGCAAAGGAGTTTGGTGAACGTCAATTTCCTGCAAGAAATAAGTACCTACAGTGATACGTTAAACTGCGACAAAGAGCCTGTGTTTGGTACGGTTGTTGAGTGCATTACGAAGGTCTAACAGACGCTGCTTTATTAAGTACGAAGAAGGCCGTCATATTTCCAGAACGTGGACCTGTGGCGTAATCGGTGGTAATAGTTTTTGTCGGCTTTAGCTAATGAGTGCTTTGGACTACAAGAGTCACGTAGGGAGTTGGCGAAAGCACTAATCACTTTTAAAAAATAATCCTGTCCCTAAAAGGCTTTTTTTTGAAATTTTCAACCGACTTTACTCTGCCATGGATTGGAATGCTGCTAACCTGGCCGACTGGTGGACTGCGAGTCATGCGGTAATGGCTCCTTCATAATGTAGCCTCCACTGGCACTCCCATTCAGTGGAATCCGAGCGGGTTTAAGTGCGGCTTTTCGTCGTGCCAGCCATTTGCTCAGTCTCCCGCTTCTGGTCTTCTTGACTGCCATAAGATCAGGCTCGGGTGGGGGGGAGTAGGGGAGTGTGCGGTAGGTGCTACGCAAGTCTACCACCACTATGAAGCAATTCAGGCGCAAGTCACCATTCCTGCTTCCACATGGTGGACACAGTCGGAAACGACGAGCAAACTGTCGACTGGCTCGAGGACTGAGAGTCCCTCTCAATGTGGCCTTCCAATCACGCAGGAGCCGGACCGCTCTCATTAAAGTCTGGTCCATGTTGTGAGGACCGGGTGGTGAGTGGCACGCGTGGACGAGTGGTTTAGTGTTGTCAGTCACTGCGCCCTCCCCCGCCCACCGTCGTCCCAAATTTCTCTCTCTTGCCGCCCAGCCCAGGTGGGGAATGAGGGAGGCGAGAGTGCGGTAGGTGCTGTGCAAGTCTGGCATCATTATAAACTAATGTACGGGCAAGTCACCGTCCTGCGTCCGCCATGTTGAGGGGCGTACGTTAGTGTCACCGTAAGCAAAGGTCACGCTGTCAACTAGTTTGCATTCGACTGCTAAGGATAGGCATTCGCCAGGGGGGGACATACTAACACTGCCTCCCATCCAGTTTGCCAAGCAAGGGGGTGACTATGAATGCAAACTATACTTTGCCGCCTGGGTTGTTGGAGAGGAAGTTGTGTCGCGACTTCAAAGAGAGAGGCCCAGTAAAAATAATCGTCCTTGGTGATGAGGGTGGGGAGGGGTGGGATGAGGCTGACTTACACAGAGGATCTTCTTGTCAGCACAACCGCACAGGAAGAGATGCTGTTTGTCCTCGTCCGGATTGAACTTCACGCAGTAGGCCACCTTCTTGAGGTTGAACTGACCGGCACACTTGCCCGTCTCCGTGTCCCACAGCTTGATGAAGCGGTCATAGGAGGCACTGAGGAACTGGGTGCCAGCTGTGTTGAAAGTTATGTCTCGCACAGCCTGTCGATGGCCCATATAGGTACGGATCAGACGTCGCTCATTGTAGAGCTCCCACAGCTAGGTGTAAGTGTGAGAGAGGGAGGAAAAAGCGGTTAAGGACGATGTGAAGCATTAAAAAAAGAAAATATGAGACGAATGTGGTCTCGCGTATACCAGTTATTCCTGAAGGGAGGACGACACAAGTAAAAAGCGTCTGAGGATTCTACTGAAGCGCGTCATTCTTTGAAGGTGGCAACTGCTACTCATTTGAGCGATGCTTAGTCCTGTATAGCAGTGGATACACTTGTCAGACAAATCCGGTTAATGGAAAATAGTATGGCGTCCAAGTAGGTCACACAGATTGGCAGTTTTGAGGGGATAGTAAAGCCCCCGGACTCGAAAATAACCGCAAATAAAAGCACATGCATTTCAGTTTTAGCTGCACTATTGGTGCGCTCGACTCCCTACCGTCAGATATGAGGTTGCTAAGCCTAGTTATGGCGCACAAAGAAGCTGGTAGACAAAAAGTGCCTCCGGCAACTGCTTTAGAAGAAGAATAGGAGGACGAGGAAGAAGAAGTGGCGGAAGAAGACGATGAAGAGGAAGAAAAAGAGGAGGAAAAGGAAGAAGAGAAAGGAGGGAAAGAAAAAGAGGGAGAAGGAGAGCAAGGAAAAAGGGAAAATAAGAGTAGGAAGAAGAAGAAGAGAGGAAGAAGAAACAGAGGAGGAGGAGGAGGGGGAAGAAGAAGAGGACGAAGAAGAGGAGAAGAAGAAAAGAGGAAGAAGAAGAAGAGAGGAAGAAGAAGGAGAGGAGGAGGAGGAGGAGGAAGAAGAAGAAGAAGAAGAAGAAGAAGAAGAAGAAGAAGAAGAAGAAAAAGGGAGGAAGATGAAAACGAAGAAGACGAAGAAGAAGAAGAGGAAGAAGAAGAAGAAGAAGAAGAAGAAGAAGAAGAAGAGGGGGAAAAGAAGAAGAAGAAGAAGAAGAAGAAGAAGAAGAAAGGAGGAAGAAGAAGAGAGGAAGAAGAAAGAGAGGAGGAAGAAGAAGAAGAAGAGAGGAAGAAGAAAGAGAGGAGGAAGAAGAAGAAAGGAGGAAGAAGAAGAGGAGGAGGAAGAGGAGGAGGACGAGGAAAGGAGATATCTTGACAGAAAACAATCATTTCCCTGCATATTCCTGGGAGCAGTTTATGCAGCCTGTAAACAAATAACATGTGTCATGACTGATTTCGCTGCAATTGGCTGCCGTTGAGGACTGCTATCAATGACACCCCAGAACTGGGTGAGACCGGATGAGAGTCGTGCTTGCATGAAGAGGAGGTGGGTGTGTTTACCTTGATTCGCGAATCCATGCCGGCGGAGAGCAGGAGATGACCTGTCTTGGGGAAGAGGCGGATCGCCGCAACTCCACGTGCGTGCGCGTTGCTCCACTCGTGAATCATCTTCTTCGGAAGGAAGCAACGATCCGGAGGTGTGTCTGAGCGCAGATTAACCCCAGGAATGTCATGGGGTGCTTGGAGGAAGGAACGACCCTGCGGAAAACAAACCCACAAGGTAATTACTACTTTTATATACATAATGAGTACTGCAGTTGGGATACGCACCGAGGTCGGCCGGCGGATGCAAATTAGCAGCGATGACGAGCAGTAGTACGAGCTCACCTGGTAATCAGTCGGAGAGGGTATGTGTAGTGTTGTCTTCTCCTCGATCGGGGCCTCTTCCACGCGACGCTTCTTAACAGCCTTTTTGGCCAGATATGCTTCAAGGTAGACGCGGTCCTCTTCGGAGGGCACAGAAATGGTTTGTTCGTCTTTATACTTGGCCCAGGGACCCGTATATTCCTCGCTCGTGGGGTCCCAGTTGCAGGCACGGGCACGTTTGGCCTTTTTAGGACCGACCTTCTTCTCAAAAATTGTCCTGCCTGAAAAAGCGTCAGAAGACGGTTAACTTTAATGCAGCGAGACACTTTAACTGACTAGAAAAATTGGCTTGCGGGAAACATGTGAAGCCCGCACTAACTAGGCAGCAGTGTACCTATTCGTTTGACCTTCTCTGGACGGAAGTAAACGGTAGCTGGAGTTAAATGGCTGATTGTTTGGATGGCGCACCACTGAAACCTGATTAGAACTAAAGGAAAAGGAGAAATTCCATGCGATACTTGACAGTTCAACCGTCGATTCCGACGATGTCCACCGTGTGCTTCACGGAAAGGTGCAGTAGCGCGGTTACTTACGTGTGAATTAGTTTGTGGTGATAGCAGACCTACGCAGCATCTACCGCACTCCCTCTTCCCCATTCCCCACCTGGACCCGCTGTCAAGACAGAGTCGTAGACGGGAGATGGGGGGTGGGGGGGGGACGCAGGTGATGCGATGCTTAACGACTAACAGTTTGACCGTCTACGCCACAAGCTCCGCCACTGTGTCGAAGACGCATAGATGACTTATACAGCTTCTATTTCAGTTGTTCTTCCCACACCCACCAAGTCCTAGTGACAAAGCAAAGCCACGACGACTGGGGATCGATGTGGGCGGGCACAGAGGCCTACGTGTACCACATGCGACTTGGTCTCCAACACTACGCAAACCTATGACGGAGAGGAATCTCGAATCCCAAGTAAACGAGGGCGCCGAAAAGGCCATATTGGAGAGCTACGACGGCCTAAACCTCGTTTCAGGAGGGGACAGGGTTATATCATTAGTCAACAGTCTTCCGCGCCACGGTTTTCAGCGCGTTATTTTTGTTGTTAAGATAGTCTTTTTTTCGCAGTGAAGAATGTGCTGACCTGGTATGAATAACGTTGTCGACTTTTCTTTACTTATTTTATGTGCTATTGATCAGTCCAAGCCTGTCGGCAGATTGATGAAATAAGGCACAATAGCTGATGCTGCTTCTGCATGCACAACAGCAGTTAAGGATTCAAGGCAGACCCTGAACAGCCCAATTGACGCATACAGCGATTCAATGTGTCCACTGTTTTGGTCTAAATCGGTAGCTGCGCAGATCTTTTGAAGGCCAGTTGACCGGTCACAAGCCAATGCGCGTACGACACTCATCAGAACGACTGAAAATTGTGGTAGTCAGACATACAACACAGGTGTCTGGTAGTAGACCTTAAGCATGACCGTGCACGATGAGGATAATCGAGTAGTCTGCCTCGATGGTGCACGTGTCGTCAGTCCCAAATTCGAAATCAAAATTGTAGAGCATCGCATTATCAGCGATGGACGACCCCAGTTGTTGTCCAGTCATCCTGCCTCTTCTGAAATCTGGCCTGCATTCAAATAAATAATCTTGTGTGCAATAAACGACCCCTGACAGATGGCAATGACGAAAAAATAGTCCAACAGGGAATGAGCAGACAGCATAATGGAAGATATCACTTTGTCACCTAGATTACGTGCCAGCTGTTTGGTGAAGGTCAGATCGGAAATGAAATTGCAAATTTAGGCAAGCATTTTCAAAAGCAGAAGGATTTTTGCATAGAAGGCTAAGAAAGTATCGAATAGGATCAATTCAAAAGTACCTTCATTATCTTTGGCGCGTTCCGGCGACCCAACAAGCCTTGACTTGCGCTCCCCATCCACGGACGGATCCTCACAATAGCCTGCCAGATAAAGATACAATCAAGAGTAGTGATGACGCCTACCGTAGGTGAGGAAGGTTCTGTGTTGATTCTCGAATGTAAACTGGTTGATGTTTGTTGGCTCCACATAACCGGTTAGAGTGTTTTTTGGGGCGCGTTGCCGTTGCGAGAGAAAGGGATTTTCGGGGCCGAGCTGCAAGATAGCAAGGGGACAGTGAAGGTCGAGGGAAGAGACACACTAACAACCACTGCAGCAGCGAATTGCACAATGGGAGCGCCTGAACTGAAGAGGTTGAGGAACAGAAAACTCGAAAGAATATACACGTGGCTTCGGTTGGCGGCCAGTACCCTAAACTGTTACAAATACTCGGAAATCGATCAGTAACAATCATCGAGGAGAAGGAGGTAAAAATAAGTATCTCTGGCCTATGTACTGTCGGCGGTAGGCTACGTTAAACACAACTAGACAGTCCTGAAGATGAAGAAGACTCAACTATACCCACGTTTAAACATCCGGTCGTAAAGTCCTAGGTATGGAGTAGCACTGGCTGCCAACGACAAATATGTCAGACATGACCATTCCAGTCTCCCCTGTCTTTGTCATTTATTAACTTCTTGTCGCCCTGTGACCGCTTGTGTGGGTTCTACGCAGATACCTCAATGTAAAACTATTAGCTCAAGGATAGTAAAGATAGGCATAATTTAAAAGGACTTCACGTTTAAGAGTAGTCGTACCAGTACATATACAAGACAGTACTGAGGCAACGAAAAAACCAACTTTCAAAATATAATCACCAACTAAGTCTTGGAACTGATCCCGTCTACTCACAAAGGGTGGTCGGCACCTCGAGGGAGTTAAGCATCACTAGCAGGAGATGAGGTGTTGTCAATAATTGCTAACTGCTATAATTGCTTGTGTACAAAGAGAAAGCCACTTGGCATATATGTGAGTGACGACATACTTTAATTGGCCAGCCTGCTGCTGTTTCGTTAAAACCTAAGAGGGTATACTAAGTTGACTGTCAAGTTAAAATAAAACCAATAGCTCTTGCCAGACGCCGTTCACTCATAGAAAGTCCCACATCAGTTTTGTAAGTGACAAATTGTGTTCTTAACTGGCCCCGAACTCCCGAAGCATACGTTGCGAGCGCAAAACGACGGTCAACAACGGAAGATAGTATCGTCAGTAAGTTAGTAAAATACCAGGACGCGGCCTTTTGAGTAGGAATCGGTTAACGCATGCTAAAAAACCGAAATCGGCCTGCCCTCAAGAGTTTTTTTAGGGTCTTGTGGTGGCCAGCCTTCTACAGAAGTATTCACGTGAGAGTCTTGGATGCTGTGAGAGTCAGGCAAACTCCAAAATAGATTTTCACGGCAGCCTGCTATTCTTCGGAGAATGAAATAATGTGAGGTACTTTCTGATACTCAAACAGGTCGGGGCAGATAGATGTGTTCTTCCTAAGTGGCCAGACTGTAAACGTGAGTGAGAAAGGTCCAACTGGTCATGGAACTCTGTTGCGCGTAACGTCTCTCGTAAATGGAATTTAAACCTCGAGTTAAGGACATGAAGTGGACTTGAAGGACACGGCTTGTGCAAATCCCCCGAATGGTTACTAACAACTGGTTCAGAGGGAACGATAAAAACTCTCGGGAGAAGTAAAGCCACTTCTGTGAAAGACAGTGCCAGTTTTATAGGCGGAACGAATATATACATATACATGTGCGGACTACGACTTTTCCTTCAGACTTAGCATCTAAGTCCAGTTAGCAGCTCCTCGACAATAGTCTTCGCAAATTTACCCATTTTGCACCTACCTCCTTGATTCTTTTCTCGTGACCGACCTTCAGTATCTATGCTATACAGCTGACTGGGATGACAGTTTGACTCAAAAAATCGGACCCGGAAGTTTTTAGTCAGGTATGTAACTAATAAGAGGGGAACGTAAGTGAAGGGGGCAATAGGCGAATAAGTCTTCTCTTACACAAACGAAGTATGTCAATTTAATGACCGTGCGCGACAAAAGGTAGTTAAAAAGCTAGATTCTATGAGAAACAGCACCCTCCATCTTAGGGGAAGAATGGTCGAACTTCAGACCTCCATACAAATCAAGGATATACATCGCGGTTTTGAAGAGGCAAGGCCCGCGGGAAACTTCGTTTCACGCTAAGTACGAGAGTTGAGAACAGAGTTTGTACATATTTCTCTCGCAAAAATCAATAGTTATTTCTAAAATGTCCGTATTCCAGGAGTTACCACAATAGAAGCTTAAATAAAGAATGGTTATAAAAATATACTTAAAACGGTTATGGGCAGACCAGAGCTGTGTTATCTATAGATGCGTAAAGGAAGGCTTACCGTCGGGGCAAACAGTTGATCGTATGTAGGGTTATGTGTTAGTTCCTTAGACTGAGGGTCAACTGGGATAAGAGAGAGAACCTCGTCCTAAAAAAATTAATCAGATTCCGGTAGGCGACATACTCTGCTTTCAGCTGGAGCAACAGCATTAACCTTTGGGACCAAGGACGAACTTGTGAGGACTTTTACGGGAGGAGTACTCGAGTCATCATCTGAAGAATTCTCATAAGAAACTAAGGCATCCATTCCAACGCGAGCAGCCGCGAAATATTTCGAATGCAGCGGTTGATGGATATAATAATTTGAAGAAATCAAGTCAAATTCCTGGTCGAGAGGCTGTTAAGGTCGGCAAAGTGGGTAAATACATAATTTTTCTAAAAAGGTCAGTTTTGATTGCGTAGTTTTTCAATAAAAGTAGTTTCTGGGTTCAAAGAAACAGAGAACAGGAGCTTTCACGATGGACTTTCGATTCCTCAGAGGACTTCTCTAGAATGGGGTGCCTGTTATTCTAATTCAATAGTTATGGTTGCCTACAGTCAACGTTATCAACATATCTGGAGGGTTCGATCTAGGAACCGAGCGTTCGGTACTACTTACATAAGTTCGGGAGAGAAGTGCAGTGAGGGAAAAACAATCACAAACAAACGTACTCTCACCCAAACAGTAGCATTCGCAAAACAAGTTAGCACAGGAGGGTTGGGGCGGAGACCGGAAAAGAGCAATGCATGAGAAAATAAAACAGGAGAACAGAGGCAAATCTTAATGAAATTAGGCATTTTATCCGACATCACATATCTTTGTACATTATTCTTTTTATTTAGGCTGTCCAATGCGGATAAATGCTTGTATAAAGCGCACGAGCTATTTACACGTTGCAGGTAGACTAATATTTAAAAGCCTAGACTGAACGCTGTGCGGCGCTTGCCAATTCTTTCTGGACTTCAGTCCAAATTCATTTTTTACTTTCTACGAATGTGCCCTTATGTGTGTTAGATAAAACGACTTATTCATTTATACATCTTATTTTTTTCTCACTTGCATCACTAAGGCCAAAACTACTCAGCTTAAAGCCCTTCAAACTACCAGGTTCAGGTGGAATTCATTGACTTTCCCTCGGAGAGTTGGCCGATGTACTATGCGAGCCGCTATTTATACATTTCAAAGGTCAACTGTCGGATGAATTGAAAACTGCCTTTGTTTCCCCAATCTGCAATGGAGGATACACTCTGGAGTCCGAAAATCAATGTCTCCTTATTTAAACATGCATTTTGTGTAAGATCATGGAACGATTTACTGAAGGGCATTTAATGACGCATTTGGAGAAGAGAAGCCTATTACGCGCTGCCCAGCACGGATTTCCTTGTGGTCACTCATATCTTGCGAGCAATGTCTACTTGCACGAAAAATGGACAGAAGCCATAGACCAGGGCCGTACAGTGGATTGCATCTTCTTTGACATGAAAAGGGTGTTTTATAGCGTGCCTCATCGACGACCCCTACAAAAGATATGGCAGTGTGGAATTTAGGGTAACGTTTTCAATGAATTAAAAGCTTATTATCATGCAGCTCCAAAGAGTAATTGTTGGCTCTACGGCATACGGATAAGTACCAGTAGACGGCAGTATGCAACAGCTTTCGGCGTTGGACACTCTCCACTTTCCTATCTATATAAACGACTACACTGAGGATTTTGACTGCGATGTTGTGGTGGCTTTAAACCAGGTGATCATGGTAACGCCGCGCGTCTCTCTAGTTCTTGCACGTACGCACCAGCGACAACCTGCTTCGGCATGGACGTCTGGTTGCCTTTGATTTATCCCGCTGCACTTCTGTCGGCACCACAATTCTGATCGATTTTCTGTTTTTACCATGCGACACTTGTCATTACCCTCGCATGGTCTCGGAACCAATCAACGCAACCCCTTTCGCTCTTTGGATACACTGGCGGATACAAGAGACAAATGGCGTAAAAAACCGGCCTTGTCACTTTGCGGTAGCATCCTTCGGCGGCAAGGGAAGTTGCTCTGGCGGAAGCGGCTTTCGTGGTGTCGGACGCACACTCGTCTGACTGCCAACGTTCCCTCATTATTCTGTACAGAATAAAATCCTCTCCACCACTGGCGTCCAGCTCCGCTCTTATTTTATCCGAACCGGGCCAGGAGATCGTAGTGGCTAGGGTCACACGCCATGGCATTAGCTGTTTCGATAATGTCGCCACGTTTGCGGATGATATAAAAGTCTGGAAAATAATCGGTTGTGTTTCCGGCGTGCCGAAGTCGCAATAAAAGTTGATAGGCTGGCTGCAGGGCCCACTAACTGGCTTCTAAAGTTTACTGTATCCGAACGCGCAGTCTTGCGCTTGGAAGCTGACCGGCCACCTTTTTCAAAACACCAATACTTCATAGATGGGATTCCGCTAAAAGATGTGAGTACGCAAACAAATGTAGGGATATGGGCAATTAAGAGTTTCCTGCTCTCTTAAGACTACGAAAGAGCGTTTGAAAGATCAGCTAACATCGTGCGCTGGACTAAGCGTGCTTTCGTAGTTTTTCTTCCTGAACTCATGGCACGGGTCTTTGGCGCATTCGTTACACTGCATTTGAATATTGAATGTCAGCATGGAAGCCCTGAATAAAGTAAGACAGTGACTCTATCGAGCTAGTGCAAAGACGATCGACAAAACTGGTGGACGCTCTTTGGGCTCTGTTATTTTCAGAGACAATGATCAACCGCAATTTGTCCCCCCTTATCCTGTAAACGAATGAGGTGCAACTTGTGTTGGGTGTTCCACATCATTCGAGGACACAACTGTCCGCTCGTATTTGAAGATTTATTGGAGTTTGCGAATGTGAGACACGCGCACGGTCATTCGTGCAAGGTCGAACGCGAATGTACTCGTTCGGCCATCTGATACCATGGTTGTATTTAAAAGGCAGTTGGATAGTTCGATTTTTGATAAACATCCACCCTCATAACAAGATTATCTACGACTAGCCGTAAAATTAGCCTCCTGATTTCATCATATAGGTAGAGCATCGCTGCATATTTATCGTAAAGCGCGTCCGCATACCTTACAACTGGCTAAATTCTAAACGGACTGCCTACAATTGTCTTTATAATTTCAAGTCGGCAAGAGTAAGGCCATCAAGGGCTCCGCCCGTAATCCCCAAATACATACACGCATGCATACAAATGGTTGGTCGGTCATCAAAGCTTATGGACAGATGCAGCCCTGAGGCTGCTTTGTTATTACAACTACTAGCAGACGGCGAAAACGGAGGATTCCGCCGTCATCGTCAACAGACGATGGAGGGTGAGCGCTCGAAATCTCAGAGGTCAGAGTGGACTCCCGATGAGGGTCGGCGAGCAGCGGAAGGGAGGTAGCTAGAGCGTGCACATCAATCTGTGGTGGTCAAGGATGTGAGATCAACTTAAACCACGCACAATAAGTTCATTTCGTCTAATGACAGAAGTCAGGGAGCTGCGAGGACTAGTTTATTCTGTACACAGGGCAGGTTGCCGTACGTTGGCTGTTTACTTGCAACAGAGAAAAGCGTCCGTTCACGGAGAGCGTCAGTCGCGGTGTGTTGTTTACGCGGGCGTGAGTGTCTGGGTCAGCAGGAGGGAGTGACGGTCTGAGTGTTGGTCGTGTGATTGGACAAATTAGGGGAGGAATGGAGGGCACATACTCACAAGGCCTCACGGGAATCAAACCAGAGCGTTCGACGCGCGTTAGGTGATACTAGTTTGTGAGGGCAGCCGGGAGTCACTGCAGCTGGACAGGAGGGACCCCAGTTCTATCCGGTGTGGGCCGTCGTGTGTCAGCGGCCTGTCAGTGCTTGTCACGGCCATCGACCGACAAAACGGAGCCGGAGAAAAGGGGGGACTGGAGCGGCTGCTACAAATCTATCCCCACTACTTGTTAGGGGGACGTCGCGTCCTGTGAACGACGTGACGCATGGAATAAAAAGTTTAACTCTTATTTTTCATGCTAATGCTCCTTCGTTCATTATATGCTCCTGTTATTCCCGTTTGCAGTATCTTTTTTGTTTCCAACATCGGGCTGCATGCAATTTTGTTTCCTGCGGTCACTGCCTCTCCATTATTTGATTCCTTTTATTGATTTCATTCCTAAAATCCTTTCAGCGGTATGCAGTTTCATTTACCAGTGTTTATTATACTCCAGTATATTTAAGGATATTAGAAAATACTTCTGCGGATCATATGGAAAACGGTGCATACGATATTCAAGTTCCCATATACATGTCACACAAATAGTATCAATAACATATATGTATACTAGTAGATATTAATTTATAAGTGTGGAACTGCAATCTGGCCACGCTCCGTGATGGAGGGCAATGCCAAATAAGTAAATCGTTCTGTTAAGTACGCCTGTGGGCACTATCATAGCAAGTAGAAGCAAGTTTTCACATGAATAATGGAACAAGTAATCGGATCCCTCGAAATTAGAGGGAGAACCAACACAGGTGTTTAGTTGTGGCTAATGCGAAGAAAGCACCGAAGTGCGGGACACAGTCTCGATTCATCACAATCCGGTAGGTCTGTATGAAGTCTCCTTGGATCCGCCTATACTCAAGAGGAAATAGGCTAAGCTCATCAGGTCTGCATCTGTACGGTAAAGTCTCAAGGCCCTTCGTAATTTTGCACGTCCTCCCTTGAACTCATTCCAGCAACTTATAATTATTTTTACCAAGGACTCCACACTTGGATTCCATAAGCCAGTTGCGGACAAGCAGAGGCTCCGTAAAAATTATCAAATAGCTCCCTATCTACGTTTGTGGAAGTCTTTTTAATGGCGCGATCCGGTTGCCATTCTGACCGCCCTGGCGCTTTGAATAAAGAAAAATAGGTTTATTACAGCGCCCCCTGGGCACTGTCAGTCTCTCTTGAACTCATCCATTTCGACCGCACTTTGACATCATTTGTTTTGAGTGTCTGTTTAGCCAATAGAGCGCGAATTGAGAGTTTGTTTTAAGTTAAAATAACCTGAGTTCCAAGGAAAAATAATCACAAAAACTTTAAGAAAGGACTATATAAACAATATAAAAATTAAGGGGAGGGCTTTAGAAATTACACAATGGTGATTCCGAGGTCTTTTTGTTCTCTCACACCCGACAGGCACCTTACGTCAAGGAAGCATTGAGGATCACTTGTTTATTTGGTGTCCCTTATGACAGACTCTCTGATATTCTAGAGTAACCAGCGATGTGAAACACTATCAA